TTTTCAATCAAACTCACTTCCTTTTCAATGATACTCTCTCACACTATTCTTATGCACACACCCTCTCATTCTGTTTTATACACATACCTATAGTCATTCACATTAACTATTATTGCCTCTTATACAGTGGGGCAAAAAAGTATTTAGTCAGCCACCAATTGTGCAAGTTCTCCCACTTAAAAAGATGAGAGGCCTGTAATTGTCATCCTAGGTACACCTCAACTATGAGAGACAGAATGAGAAAAAAAAATCCTGGAAATCACATTGTCGGATTTTTAAAGAATTTATTTGCAAATTATGGTGGAAAATAAGTATTTGGTCAATAACAAAAGTTCATCTCAATACTTTGTTATATACCCTTTGTTGGCAATGACAGAGGTCAAACGTTTTCTGTAAGTCTTCACAAGGTTTTCACACACTGTTGCTGGTATTTTGGCCCATTCCTCCATGCAGATCTCCTCTAGAGCAGTGATGTTTTGGGGCTGTCGCTGGGCAACACGGACTTTCAACTCCCTCCAAAGATTTTCTATGGGGTTGAGATCTGGAGACTGGCTAGGCCACTCCAGGACCTTGAAATGCTTCTTACGAAGCCATTCCTTTGTTGCCCGGGCGGTGTGTTTGGGATCATTGTCATGCTGAAAGATGTTCACGTTTCATCTTCAATGCCCTTGCTGATGGAAGGAGGTTGTCACTAAAAATCTCACGATACATGGCCCCATTCATTCTTTCCTTTACACGGATCAGTCGTCCTGGTTGCTTTGCAGAAACACAGCCCCAAAGCATGATGTTTCCACCCCCATGTTTCACAGTAGGTGTTCTTTGGATGCAACTCAGCATTCTTTCTCCTCCAAACACGTCGAGTTGAGTTTTTACCAAAAAGTTCTATTTTGGTTTCATCTGACCATATGACATTCTCCCAATCCTCTTCTGGATCATCTAAATGCTCTCTAGCTAACTTCAGACGGGCCTGGACATGTACTGGCTTAAGCAGGGGGACACGTCTGGCACTGCAGGATTTGAGTCCCTGGCGGCGTAGTGTGTTACTGATGGTAGCCTTTGTTACTTTGGTCCCAGCTCTCTGCAGGTCATTGACTAGGTCCCCCCGTGCTGTTCTGGGATGTTTGCTCACCGTTCTTGTGATCATTTTGACCCCACGGGGTGAGATCTTGCGTGGAGCCCCAGATCGAGGGAGATTATCAGTGGTCTTGTATGTCTTCCATTTTCTAATAATTGCTCCCACAGTTGATTTCTTCACACCAAGCTGCTTACCTATTGCAGATTCAGTCTTCCCAGCCTGGTGCAGGTCTACAATTTTGTTTCTGGTGTCCTTTGACAGCTCTTTGGTCTTGGCCATAGTGGAGTTTGGAGTGTGACTGTTTGAGGTTGTGGACAGGTGTCTTTTATACTGATAACGAGTTCAAACAGGTGCCATTAATACAGTTAACAAGTGGAGGACAGAGGAGGCTCTTAAAGAAGAAGTTACAGGTCTGTGAGAGCCAGAAATCTTGTTTGTTTGTAGGTGACCAAATACTTATTTTACCGAGGAATTTACCAATGAATTCATTAAAAATCCTACAATGTGATTTCCTGGATTCTTTCCCCCCATTCTGTCTCTCATAGTTGAAGTGTACCTAGGATGAAAATTACAGGCCTCTCTCATCTTTTTAAGTGGGAGAACTTGCACAATTGGTGGCTGACTAAATACTTTTTTGCCCCACTGTATGTGTCGCTTCTTTTGGGCTTGTTTTCATAGACCTGGTTGCTTATTTCTCTCAAATCTGGCAATAGAGTGGGCGCAGTGTCTAATAGTAGCAGTAAGCTAACAAGAGGCTACGTTCAGCTGGTGACTCGGGAGTCGGGACATATATTATTCGGCCTTTCATTCACTGCTATTCTGTTTTACATAATGACTATTGTTATTAACATGAAATATTATTCCCTCTTATATAGGTTATTATTCTGTCTTACATACATTGTTTACCGATTACACACATACTACTATCCTCTTTCACATACACTATTATAATGTTCTATTAGATTATAGTTGTTTGTGAAAGACGATAGTGGTGTGCAGTGTGAGAAAAAGTTTTTAGTGAGTACTTGTCCATGGACAAGTCAGTTTGGCAATTTACTTGTCCCAATACATTTTTCACTTGTCCAGAATGGAAAAAAATTGGGGCCACTGGAATCTTCTTCTTCGCCATCGTATTTTACATTTTCCCACGGTTTTTACGACACTGCTAACGTAAGTGAGCGGTAAGATTTTACTGCATCACACATAGGGTTGGGTATCGTTTGGATTTTAACGATTCCGGTTCTGCTTTTCGATTCCGGTTATTTTTGGTTCTCGATTCCGGTTCTTTGAGAGGGTAAAAATAAGTCCCATGACAAACTGGGAGAAAAATATATTTATGAAAACATTAAGTCAAATCTGTATTCCTATTTACAAATCACTTCATACTGTTGAATTTCTTACGGTTATTGAATACAATAAAAATAATCTCTGCATTGTTTAGTTAGTTCTAAGTGGTGCAGTTTGAGAATGTACTATTGGCCCAGTCTCCTCTGAAGTTACACTGCAACCTGCCTGTGAGACAGAGTCCAACCACACATGTCCAACACATAGGCCTAATAATAATAATACATTATATTTATAGCCTATAGGCCTAGCGCTTTTCTACAACTCAAAGACGCTTGCACGCTTACACGTCCTACAATACACATGCTGCAGCTGCCCAGCTGCTCACTGTTTGTAAAAGTAAATAAATAGTATTTTAATTTCAATAATGTACTTTCTATACCCTGCTTCATAAACAATACTGACATCCCTGTGCTCCTCCGAGTCTGGAGGTCCGGGGATGTGAGGACAGCGCGAGGACACAGACAGGGAGGCTGCTTCACTTCATAAAGGAAATGGCGGTCAATATTAACAACACAGGAGCTAAAACGCTTAATAACCTTCATTACGTGTTAGAGAAAGAACATAAGAAAGTTTGACAAAGATGAGGCTGTTAAACGGGCAGCGGATCTGCTGTGTGTAGAAAGAGAGAGAGAGACGCTGAGCTGCACTGTGCAGCGATCAGCTGATACGGAGCATAGAGAGAGCTGCAGTCCGCGGGGCTCGGCCTCGCCTCCTGTCCTCACAACTCTTATTAATCCCGGTACTGGAGAATGGTTATTTGTTCCTACTCGGAACCAAGTTTTGCTTCCCAACCCTGCCACTGTGCTACACTTCCCGCCCCGCCCCGCCCCGCCCCCATCCCCATCTAACTGTACAGAAAGCGGCGAGATGCATTTCCTTAGGAATCGACAAGCAGAACCGAAACTAACATTTCTAAACGAACAATTGCGGACACGTACAATTTGCGAATGAGTTCTGCCTTTTGTAAACTGAATGTATCAATAATTTGTCAATAAATCAGGGCGAAAAACGTCACTTGTCCGCCGGACAAGTCAATTGAAAGATCTTACTTGTCCGATATTGTAAATAACACGTCCCGGACGGTGGGACGTGTACTTTTTCGCACACTGGGTGTGTGTACGAGAGTATGATGGTGCCTTTAAGAGATTTTGTTTTTGTGTGTGAGAGAGTAGTTATTTATGTATGATAGTATGATAGTAAATGAAGGAAGGAATGACAGTACGTTAAGGACGGTATGATACTGTGTGTTAAAGAATCTGGTGGAGTATATGTGAGATTCTGATATTGTTTGTAAGACCAAGTATGAGTTGTGAGCTAGACGGCCTCTCATACACATGCATATATGCACATATTCATATACACACCTACATACTCACACATATATACACATACACATAAGGCGCGTTCACACCGGAGTACTTTTACCCGTACTTTTCTCGTTTAGTTCCAATAGTGCTTGGAATTTTGCGTTCATACCAAAAATAAAACTTAGTTCAGAGAACTTTTACCCCCATTGTTAGTGCCTGCTAGAGAGGTGGTACTATCCTGGGGAGAAAAAAGTAGCGATTTCGCTGGGCGAATTGCAAACCACGCCCCGCAAAACTCTGAAAAGTTTTGTGAAGCCGCCATTGTATTTGCTGCCATTAGCATTATTAGCATTAGCATTAGCCCCGCGCACCAACGGAGAGAGAATAACTTATGGCAACACAAAAAAAAAACATGGGAGCGGTGGAGATGAGGAGGTTCTGGCGATTTACTCGGAAGGCTTCAGTAGAAGCTGCTGGGAGTCCCAGCAGCTTCCACTGAAGCCAGTCCCCAACTCCAGGGACTTCGGGCGGCAGTATACGCCGTGAAGTGGTTTGCGGCCTGCCAGTAAACCCAAAGCAGAAGAAGACGAAGTGACGTCAGCGGTTTCATTTGCGTAATCTTCCCTCAGGGACTTATTCCGGTGTGAACGCGATTTGTACTTAGTGCCATGGGGGTAGTAAAGCCCCGGCCACCCGAGGACAATAACAGTCATATCTGCTACAGTTCACTATCAGATAGATTGGTTCGGCCACACGAGGCCGACATGGAAACGCAGATAACGATAACGAGTCCCAAGGTGGGTAGATCTGCAAAGGAAACGCTCTGGGGGGGCAAATTGCTCTGTGTTTATGCCTATACGATCATTTCCTGATAACGTTGAAGCAATAGCCCCGCCTCTCCTGCTCAGAGATCAGATGCTGGGCTGTCAGAAGAGAGGGAGGAAAAGAGAGGCTCTGTTTTTTATTATTATATAGAGTCGTTATTCATTTGTTTTAAAGCGCTTTCGAGCGGTCTCGTGTCTGTTGCGTGTGGACGGAAGACTTTTTTGATAACGATTGCGGTCCGTTTGCGTTATCGTCCTCGTGTGGCCGGGGCTTAAGTACGGCAAAGTACTTGGTGTGAAAGCGGCTATAGTCAAACACCTTCCCCACATCCCTGTACCTCGAGAAAATAATGACAATGCCAACCATGGAGGAAAATATGTCGATAAGTCATTAAAGTATTTCATCAGTTCACAATGTGTTAAATGCTCCTTCTGTGTGTTTAACAGGAGCGGAGAGTGGAGAAGAAAGCCAACCAGACGGCGTTTAAGGAGGAGAAAGTGCGACAGGAGAAGCAGATGTTGAGCCTGAGAGCCAACGTTCAAGGCATGAAGCTTTAATAAACAAACTCTGCCCACACTGACTTTCTTTACCCCGCTTTGAGGCGCCATCAGTGGACTCTTAACTTCAGTGGAGCTGAGAAACAAGTCCGAACAGGGCGACTGACGGGAAGCCGAGCCTCCAATCTCCTCGAATCATCACGAGATGCAACTTCAAAAGAGGAAGAAATGAACTTTATCTGCAGTTTACCAGCTCAGGATTAATAAATGCTGGGTGTTGAGTAGAAGGTATTAAAGAAGTTTGATTTGATTTTGTTGTTGTGATCATATCGGTTATCTTGCTTTTGGATATTAAAACGCTTTTATTGCAGGTGATAAATGAGAAGATCGATACCACTCATGTCTGTACTGAAGCAGCCCAATGCTAACTTAGCTTAGCACAAACACTGGAAACAAGTGTATACAGTAAGCCAGACTCCTCTGAAGCTCACAAATTAACGTTATTTGTGTCATTCGTACCTTTAGTTTATAGATGTTTGTATTGTAAGACAAATGCATTTTGGCTGTTACATAACTGTAGCTGGCTTCTCCATGCACCTTGGAAGTCGATACATGTGTTTAAGAAGCACAGATGCAGAATGACAACAACAAATAACTATGTTAGAGGGGTAAATAATAAGACTGTTACTTTACAAAGTGGTTTTGTTTAAGATAAATTAAGTTTCATGCTGTAAAAACAACCTAGATACGAAAAAAAAGTGCAAAGAAATTGATAAATTAAGCAAAACAATGTACAAATTAAATAATACCTCCTGCCTCTGAAAGATACCAAAAACAGTTAAACTGCTAATATTTATTTGTTGTATTTTTCACAATTAAACTAATGACATTTATCATGTTAAAATTGAGCTTCAGAGGCGTTCTCTGGCAGATTTAAGCTCCGTTTCCAGTGTATGTGCTAACAGTCGTACGGCACTGATATAGCTTCATATTTATTAGAGTGGTATCAGTCTTCTCAATTTGTCCAAAAGCATAATCCCAATAAATTACAAACTATTCTGTAAACAAGCTACTTTAATTAAATGAAAATGCTTATTTTTCTCAACATATCGGTTTGTAATCTCATCATTAAGATGTATATCAATACACAACACTTCCTTATATTTGAAATTAGCGAAAGAAGATATCAATATTGTTTGTGTCTTTATTAAAAATTCAAAAGTAACCTGAGATTTCCTGTTGATCTTATCAAAGTGCACTTTGCCCCACAGCAGGTGATCTGATACTTTCACACTGCCGTTTATTCAAAGATCATATCAGCAAATCTTTGACACATGAACATATTTAAATCTCATGCAAACAAGTCATGGGAAAAGTATAAATGGACGTTTCCTTATTAAATAAACAAATACATCTTATTTCAGAGACAACATTCTCTTTCAGTGTTCAGCTTACCATGCTGTTAAAAATGTTAGAGACAAGGTATTGAAAGGTAGTATTCTACGGAAGAGGATTAGGGCCACATTGAGGTCTGAGAAAAAGTAATTTAATCCTGGAATTCTGAGAAGAAAAATAATATTGTCTTTTTAGAAAAGTGGGAATTCTGACTTGAATCTCAGAATTCTGGGAAAAAATCTGAAATTAAAGTCAGAATTCTGAGAGATTTGGATATTTAAGTCAGAATTCAAATACAAATAAATAAATGTAATCTTAAAATGTTGATGGCGAAATAATTTTTCCAGCAAAATTCTGAATTTTCAGAAAAAAGTCAGAATTCCGACTTTTTCTCTGACAATTTCGGTTCAAAAAGCTCTAATCTCAAACATTTTGTTCACGTGTGGCCCTTATCCTCTGCCGTAGCATTCAAAGCAACCGTTTAAAAAGCACTTTTACGCAATAGGTAATTTCATCACAGCAATAAAAAAAATATGAGCAACCCTGAAGTACTTGTAAAATGTAATCCTCTTGATGCGAACAAAAGAAAAACTCCCACACATCACATCAAAGCCGGTTTGACAGGAAACACACAGTGATACCTGCACATACATTTCCAGGTGTGGCATCCATTTGAATGCCTCATTATCTGCTGCCTAGAGCAGAAAGTCCACATTTGACGGTGTGTTAAAACACAGTAAAACCGGTACAGTCAATCTCATCCGGTTGTAAACATTTTACCTCTAGTCGAACTTAGTAAGGTGGAGGTTTTGGAGCTGAAAGCCAAATTCCTTTTCAAATCCGAACAAGTTTCCAGGTTATTTTCTTTGGCTGACAATGCTGACCTTTGCCTTTTTCATTGGAACTACTTTCTACCAAAGAAGTAGTCCCTCTTAATATTTAAAAAGACAAATCTTCCTCTAAACCTGGTCAAATAAACTGAAAATGATCTACATAACTTTATACCACTTGATGCAAGTAGGAACTGTTTTATATATATTACAAATAAAATGTCCCTTTTTAAAAACCAAACCATGGAGCCCTTTCCCTTCCTGAATAACAGCTGCACAAACATCCACCAGTTTTAGCTGATACTTAGAGACTATAAGAGCGATCATACTTCTTATGGAGCGTGTTCCCCTGAGGTAAAATAATGTATATTGTGTTAAAGTAACATTTCTGCAGCTGAGGGTCAGGGATGTTCAGGAGACTTGAAGATCACCGCTTCGTTTCCCGGGTACAACAGAGTCAAACAGCAATGCTAACTACTGTGTTATTGTATGCATATAGTTAAAGTGATATACATGAGGCTGAGGTTTCATGTTAAGTTTCTTAAATCCCATCCTGTTTGTGTTGCAGCTGTTGAAACAATCAGCCTTTTCCCCTCGAATTGCCTCTAAAAAACAGCCACAAGGCAAGCCAAAGATATACTTAAACATTGGTAGATGTTTACCAGTACAACCACAAAGTAGAAGGTTTAACTGTCTTTGTCCCTTCTTGAGAAAAGGCACCACCTCCATGAATGCACTTGTTTGTAATGCAAAGTATAGAGAGGTCAAAACCACGAGAAAATGACTTTTAATCCAGAATAAAGTCGTCTTTTTAGGTTTGTTTTCACCTCTCGCTGCAAGCTTAGTCCCCGTCACCCATATCCACCTACGGAGCATGAGGGCGATCGTAGTGTGATCGTATCGACTCCACCGATTCAATAGAAACAGTCTCAGTTTTCGCAGAATCATCATCACTAATGTTTTCCTCCAGAAGTCCTCTATCAGAGTTCCGCATCGAGAGGCTGCACACTCTCTCTGCTTAGGTATCCGCTGCTGTCCCTGCTGCGGTCTGTGCTGTCCTCCTCTTCCTCCTTGGAGCGGACACCTGAATCCTCATCATCTTTCATGTTGTCCTCCAGACGTCCTCCATCAGAGTACGCTGCATCGAGAGGCTGCACACTCTCTCTGATTAGGTATCCGCTGCTGTCCCTGCTGCGGTCTGTGCTGTCCTCCTCTTCCTCCTTGGAGCGGACACCTGAATCCTCATCATCTTTCATGTTGCCCTCCAGACGTCCTCCATCAGAGTACGCTGCATCGAGAGGCTGCAAACCCTCTCTGTTGTCTCTGTTGTTGTCTCTGCTGTCCTCCTCCTCCTCCTCCTCCTCCTCCTCCTCCTCGCAGCTGACTGAAGTGTTGACGGGGTTGTTGCACAGTTTAACAACACTGACGGGAGTCGAGTCTTTTTCAATTAATAAAGGGCCATCTTCTCTTTCTGTGAAATTCTGCAAATAAAGCACATTATCAAGCAGGGTTAGGTCAGATGTTGTGCTGAATGATTTGGAAAAAATATTAAATTGCAGTTACTTCTTAATTGCGATCATGTGTGATATTCTGTGATGATGTGACTGTACCAAACAATTCGTTTTTTAAGTCTTTAAAATACAACTTGTGAGCTGCAGCATTAAAATATCTAAAGAGGCCCTATTATGATTTGGGGGTTTTCCCTTTCACCATGTGTGGTATATTGGTTTGTGTGCATGTAATTGATCTGCAAAGGATAACATACCGAAACACCTCCATTGGACTCCTTTGTTTACTTCTCTAGCATAGTGACATCACTACATAACACTCGCACTTCTATTGGCTAACGCTCCAACTCATTGTACGTGATAGGCTAAGAGGCGGGACATCTCTAAGCTGGTTGACCAATCACAACAGAGCCGGCCAGCTAACCAATCAGAGCTGACTGGGCTCTGGTTTCAGACAGAGGGTGAAAAGAGGTGCTGCAGCACAGGCAGTATGAGAGAAATAAAGAGCTTTTTGAACATTAAGGCATGGAGACATGTAGAGACACTAAATACTGATATACACCTGAACATCAGCAGGAGAGGACTCTTTAAAGTAGAGACACTAAATACTGATATACACCTGAACATCAGCAGGAGAGGACTCTTTAAAGTAGAGACACTACATACTGATATACACCTGAACATCAGCAGGAGAGGACTCTTTAAAGTAGAGACACTAAATACTGATATACACCTGAACATCAGCAGGAGAGGACTCTTTAAAGTAGAGACACTACATACTGATATACACCTGAACATCAGCAGGAGAGGACTCTTTAAAGTAGAGACACTAAATACTGATATACACCTGAACATCAGCAGGAGAGGACTCTTTAAAGTAGAGACACTAAATACTGATATACACCTGAACATCAGCAGGAGAGGACTCTTTAAAGTAGAGACACTACATACTGATATACACCTGAACATCAGCAGGAGAGGACTCTTTAAAGTAGATACACTACATACTGATATACACCTGAACATCAGCAGGAGAGGACTCTTTAAAGTAGAGACACTACATACTGATATACACCTGAACATCAGCAGGAGAGGACTCTTTAAAATAGAGACACTACATACTGATATACACCTGAACATCAGCAGGAGAGGACTCTTTAAAGTAGAGACACTACATACTGATATACACCTGAACATCAGCAGGAGAGGACTCTTTAAAGTAGAGACACTACATACTGATATACACCTGAACATCAGCAGGAGAGGACTCTTTAAAGTAGAGACACTACATACTGATATACACCTGAACATCAGCAGGAGAGGACTCTTTAAAGTAGAGACACTACATACTGATATACACCTGAACATCAGCAGGAGAGGACTCTTTAAAGTAGAGACACTACATACTGATATACACCTGAACATCAGCAGGAGAGGACTCTTTAAAGTAGAGACACTCCATACTGATATACACCTGAACATCAGCAGGAGAGGACTCTTTAAAGTAGAGACACTACATACTGATATACACCTGAACATCAGCAGGAGAGGACTCTTTAAAGTAGAGACACTACATACTGATATACACCTGAACATCAGCAGGAGAGGACTCTTTAAAGTAGAGACACTACATACTGATATACACCTGAACATCAGCAGGAGAGGACTCTTTAAAGTAGAGACACTACATACTGATATACACCTGAACATCAGCAGGAGAGGACTCTTTAAAGTAGAGACACTACATACTGATATACACCTGAACATCAGCAGGAGAGGACTCTTTAAAGTAGAGACACTAAATACTGATATACACCTGAACATCAGCAGGAGAGGACTCTTTAAAGTAGAGACACTACATACTGATATACATCTGAACATCAGCAGGAGAGGACTCTTTAAAGTAGAGACACTACATACTGATATACACCTGAACATCAGCAGGAGAGGACTCTTTAAAGTAGAGACACTCCATACTGATATACACCTGAACATCAGCAGGAGAGGACTCTTTAAAGTAGAGACACTACATACTGATATACACCTGAACATCAGCAGGAGAGGACTCTTTAAAGTAGAGACACTACATACTGATATACACCTGAACATCAGCAGGAGAGGACTCTTTAAAGTAGAGACACTACATACTGATATACACCTGAACATCAGCAGGAGATGACTCTTTAAAGTAGAGACACTACATACTGATATACACCTGAACATCAGCAGGAGAGGACTCTTTAAAGTAGAGACACTACATACTGATATGAACCTGAATATGAGATTAATATATCCTCTTTAATATAAATGGCAGTACAGTCTTTTCAAATAAGTAACAAAGCATTAGAAACACATTTATTTTTGGATTACTGAAAATATATCAAAAGTTATACACATCTACCCAACCCTCATAATTACACATAATAAGTTTGTGGTTCTTCCATTTCTTCTTACCAGAGGAGTAGGTGTAGGGGGGCTCTCCATCGTCCAGGCTCTCACCTTAATGATGATAATTATAATCACAACGATTACAATGCCGAGGACGAACAGCAATACAACCAGAGCCACCGTAAGATCCTCTGCAATAAAAACACATTTGACTTTGTTTATCGGTTGGACATTTTCTGATTTAGCAAAAGTGCTTATTCATATTACAGTGTTATTTTACAGAGACGTTCAAATGTTTATTTGAGGGTCCTTTTATGATTTTTGGGGGTTCACCCTTTCCCATAATGTATAATGCAGGTTGTCGCACGCATCTCTGCTTGTCTAGCGGACATCTCTCGGTGGATGTCTGCTCACCACCTCAAGCTCAACCTTGACAAGACTGAACTGCTTTTCCTTCCGGGAAAAGATTGTCCCACTCTTGACCTAACAATCAACATCGGCACCTCTGTTGTTTCCCCGACTCAGACTGCAAGGAATCTGGGTGTGATCCTAGATAACAAACTGTCCTTCACTGCAAACATCGCTGCTACAACCCGCTGCTGCAGATACACGCTTTACAACATCAGGAAGATACGTCCCCAGCTGACACAGAAAGCCACGCAGGTTCTGGTCCAGGGCTCCGTACACATACTTTGATTTAGCTTATTATTACTATTAGGATCCGAACATCGACAAAGTCAGAGGGAAGGACCTTCGCCTTGTTTTGTTTTATGCTGCTGCAACGAAAACATTTCCAGAATTGGGAAGTTAATCTTATCTTATTGAAATCCTTATAATGTTTTTATTACGTTTCTTTGAGTTTAAACGTGCTGCGACAGTGGATTTCTTTGGGCAGGATTGTCAGGACTGGGGAAAATGTATATTTCAGGGGGTCTTGTTCTTTGGTGGAGGCAAAATGCTCTTTAGCCGCTTCTACAAAGTTGCTAAAAGGCTGTTCATCGTAGTTATTTCACCTATGAGTCTGAAACTTCCTAGGTATATGTAACATGTTGAGACACACAAAAAAGCCTTAGGGCGTCATATTATAAATCCAACAAGAAGTCTGCCATTTTGAATCACGTGCATTTTATGGCTAGATTTTGTATTTTACACGTGCCATACTTTAACAAAATGCTCCAAATGTTTTAATCCGACCGACTTCAAATCAAAAGTACAACATCTGAGTACCTCTTCCACCACTTCCTGTTAATGGCTGTGTCCATGCTGTGTATTTGTATGTTAGAAAAACAGGCTTGATTCATTTATTTTTCATTTTGGCCGCACCATTTAATATTTGTAAACAGTATACTGCAGGTATTTCCAGTTCGTACTCACTCTCTTCTGGTTCGGCACAGATTCTGTCGATCTGTTTGAACGCTTGACCACCAATACTTTCAAGCAGGTCTCCCTTCAGCGTCACACACTTCTCCTCGTCCGCAGGGAACACAATATCAAGTTTGCAGTTTTCGTGCTGCCCGCAATCTTCTTTATAATGACCCTGAAAGTCACAGAACATGGATAATAAACATTAACGTTGCTTTTCTTAATACTGCAACAGAGTACACATTTACAATATTGAAGTTATTGATCATTTTTGGATCATTATTCTCATCCATCATTGAACGATATATTTAAAGGGGCCCTATCGAGCCTTTTGGGGAGTTTCTCCCCCCCCCCCCTGCCAGAAACTCCTCCATTGGACAAATGTTTTCTTCCATAACAAAGTGACATCCCTATGTAACATACTTATATTGGCTGGCGCTTCAACACATTGCACTCGATAGACTAGGGGGCGGGACATCTCTTAGCAGGTTGACCAATCACAACTGAATTGAGGGTCTAAGGATAGAGGGTGTCGTTTTTCTCATACTGATATTCTGAACAATCTGTGCTGTTGTATCTGCTGTAAAGTGTCTCTACTGTAGGCTAATTTTATTATATGTACAGCACTTTGGCTCGACCAAAATCGTTTATAAATGTGCTATATAAATAAAACTTGATTTGATTTGATTTGAGAATTGGCCAGCTAACCAATCAGAGCAGACTGGGCTCTCAGACAGAGGGTGAAAAGAGGCAGGCAGTATGAGAAAAAGAAAGAGCTCTTTGAAAATTAAAGCATGGAGACATGTCCCAGTAGAGACACTGCATACTGATATACACCTGAACATCAGCAGGAGAGGACTCTTTAAAGTAGCGACACTAAATACTGATATGAACCAGACCCTTTAAAATGATCATGGTATTTTTTTTGAGAGAGTCCTTAATTCAGGATGATAGTTAGTTACACATATGTTGGCTGTAACAAATATTGCGCCTCATGTGATTCTGATTAAATTGTTATTAATTGTGCAGCCCTTCTTTATTAAACTTACAGTTTTGGAAGAGGCTTCAAATATAAAGGAGGCATCTGCTCCGATGATAGCCTGCTTCAGCTTCTCGTAGTAGTGGAGAGGATTCTTGAAGCTAAGCGTGGCTCCTGAATCCGTCTCCACCAGATCCACATCGGGGAAATCCAAATGACCTGCCAAGAGACATTTGTGAAACTTATGATTCAAATTTAAAATTCAAATTAAATGTACAGCACCAGTCAAAAGTTTGGACACACCTTCCCATTTTTTTTCCTTTCTACATTGTAGATTAATACAGAATACATCAAAACTATAAAAGAACACATATGGAATTATCTAGTAAACAAAAAAGTGTTAAAATAAAATGTTTTAGATTCTTCAAATTAGCCCAATGTTGCCTTGATGACAGCTTTGCACACTTTTGGCTTCTCTCAGTCAGCTTCATGAGGTAGTGGTACACTGGTAGTGTATAAAGCCCAATAGCGTGTACAGATCAACAAGTAAAAGAAAAAAACATAATTAAATTACAACCTCCTAGACGATAGAATTGACAAAATGGCAATGCGAATGTAATAAGTCATATTAATAGGTTTGAAAAGATATTCAAATACAATAAAAAAGACCCAGGATGATGTTTAAGGCAAGCCTGAGCCAGCAATATTATAATATTTAATAATAATAGTAGGTCTTCAGACTATTAAATGTCGATAGGATGCATGCCCATAAAAAGTAAGCACTTTTGTAATAGTTGTCCCCTTTAATGCATGCATATAAATACACTTTTTTATAATGTTTTTAATAATAACAATTTAAAATATATTCCTATTATTTTTATCATTATTATTATGAATAGTATTATTATAATCATAATTGATTTGATTTTGATTTGATTTATTTCAGATGTGTAAAACAATAATACAAACATTTAACATAAGAGTTATTATACAATACAACATTTATATATAAAAACATTACTGATTCTAAATTATATATAAACAAATTATCTACTTAATTACACATCCGAAAAGAGGTGGGGAAGAAGTTTACACTTATTTAATCCCACCCCTTCTCCCAAAAACTGAATTACTAACATATATGTATATCTTTTTTTTTTTCTTAAAGAAATACATTTGTTATTGAAAAACAAACAAATAAAACAAAAACAACAGATAAATAAACAAACAATTAAGCAGATAATAATGACAATCACTATAATAAATTCATTTTTACAATATTTTTAATTATCAAAAAGAGGCTTGTCTATAAGCATTATAATATTGCATTCATATGGGGCAATATTAGGACTTAAAAAGGTCAAGATAATCAAAGATATTTGACTTTTATGATTAAATAAAGGGCAGCCATCTTTATCTACATGTACTCACATTTTTTATCAGCGGTTTTTAAGTCGTTAAAGGTGAAGGTGATCTTTGCTTCTTTAGACCGGTTTCCTCCCTGAAACGCTGTCACATTGACTCCGTAGAAATCCATGAAGCTAGCCTCAGATTTCCAGATGAAATCAAAGACGTGAAAGTGACGCTCTTTCACCCAAGATTGATGTATTTCGTTGCTGCAACACAACAGAGAAATCCTTGAATTTCATAAATTAGATCAGATCAGATTGTCATCACCAATGTAGTATTTTAATCAGCTGTGTGAAATAGCTAAGTACAATTACTCAAGTACTATAACTTTAAAGGACTTGAGTAATTCATGTGTTGCTACTTTGTACTTCTACTCCTCTATAGTTCAGAGGTAAATGGTGTACTTTTACTCCACTGCATGTATTTAATACCTTTAGTTACTTCACAGATCTGGATGAATGATGTGAAATATAATCAAGTGTTGAATCAGACTTTAGTTCCACCTGGAGTAAATCCACCAGCTACCCTGCAGTATACAAAGTCATTCAAACTAGCTGCTCCTTTACCAGCTTTGAGAACACTTTCATGATCAATCATTATAAAACATATCATATATATTATTCTGAAATGGACCAATCTGCACAACGACTACTTTTACTGTCGCTACTTTCACTATATTTAGATGAGAATACTTTTATACTTTTACTTGAGGAACATTTTGAATGCAGGACTTTTACTTCTTATTCCTTCTCTCTGGTACTTGTACTTTTACTCAAGTACAATAACTGAGTATTACCTCCACCTCTGATTATATTTGTAATCTATGCATTGTGTTAACCAAATGCCTTGCACAAAGATAAACAAACAACAGATGATATACAGTTCAAAAAGAGGCATAAAACCCAAATTTGAATCCTCTGACTTAATCATATTAAACATTTCACAAGATTAATATAGAATATACATTTGAATTCAATAGTAAAGGCAAACAAAAAGAACAACATGTAAGAATAAACAACATCAAAATAACAATATAAGTTCAAGAAAGGTGGTATGAAGTATGTATCTATTTTTCATTAAGGCAGCGCTTTTTCCAAAGCAGCTTACATCACTCGTTTTCATTCTTGTTGTGTATTATTGTATTTGATTAATGTGTGCTTTTTAAAAATATTAGTTTAGAAGTCTCACTTTCCAGATCCTCTGACATCTATCTTGAATTCGGTGTGTGTTTGCTGCTCGCTGAACTCCCAGCTCAGCATCACGTTGGGGCTCGTGCAGCTCACAGTCAGGTTTGTTGGTGGAGGAACTGCAGGAAAGAAGAGAGGAAAGTTCAAATCGATCGTCACCAGAGGTGGAAAATAGTTAGGAAATTACCCACTGACCCAAGTGTGCAGAATGAGTACTTTTACATGTTGTACTTTAAGGCCAGTCAAGACTGCTACCTTATATATTTTGATGCTATTACTTTTTTTCATACACTTAAAAAGGTCCCCTATTTTACTGTCTTACATCAATATATCACAGGTCTCAGATATATACAGAGCTGTCTCTGATTGGCTGAAACACCAAACAGATCATTGCAGCATCCCATAATCCCCTCTGTTTCAGCCCTGTTTCCAAAGTGCTGATTCTCTGTCTGTTACTTTAGATGAAAATAAGGAGCCCCTCCCCACGCCCCTCTGAGAGACATTTGGTTACAAATGCGATGCCCCTGTGGGTTCATCTAGAGAGGATGTGGCTGTGCTGTCTTGGTTGCAGTAACTCAGGGCACCTGGGTCTGGTGCCCTGCAGCTATTTAAAGCCTCTCTGCTCCTCTCTGCTTCTCCTACAGGCACCCTGTTCGGTTGAGTATGTCAATAGTTATTTCAGTTGTTTTACTTTGTGCACCTCAACATCCTCACACATACATGTTCATGCAATACTCCCCCTGCATTTACACCTCATGTTTTATTTACTTTGCACTTGATTAATTTGGCTGATTTGAATCACTTGCTTTAATAAACATATTTTGTTAACCGTTGATATGCTGTGAGCAGCTGTGTCTCCTCTTTGTTGTGGCCTTTTGAGCCAGGTCATAACAAAAAGAACACTTTAGGCGCGTTCACACTGCAGTACTTTTCCCACTTTAGTTCCGATATAGTTCAGAAATGTTGCGTTCACACCAAAAAAATCCGGAACTAAAATTAGTTCATGAGAACCTTTTTACCCCCTTTTCCGTCCCTGCTAGAGAGCAGGGACTTTCGTGGGAGAAAAAGGTTCCTATGTCTGATTGGCTGGGCGGATTGCAAACCACGCCCCGTAAAACTCCCAAAAGTTTTGTGAAGTCGCCATTTTATTATCCTCGCATTAGCATTATTAGCATTAGCATTAGCCCAGCGCAGAAACATAGAGAGACTAACTTATGGCAACACAAAATAAAACATGGGAGCGGTGGAGATGAGGAGGTGTCAGCGTTCTGGCGGGGGTGGGGGGGCTACCTTGGTTGGTGATTGGCTAATGCTTACCACAATCATAAAGTGGCCAACATCTGATCAGCTAATTTTCACACATGTTGATGTAGAAGAGACATAAAGAACAGGGGACACATGTTGATGTAGAAGAGACATAAAGAACAGGGGACACATGTTGATGTAGAAGAGACATGAAGAAGAGGGGACACATGTTGATGTAGAAGAGACATGAAGAAGAGGGGACACATGTTGATGTAGAAGAGACATGAAGAAGAGGGGACACGTGTTGATGTAGAAGAGACATGAAGAAGAGGGGACACGTGTTGATGTAGAAGAGACATAAAGAACAGGGGACACATGTTGATGTAGAAGAGACATGAAGAAGAGGGGACACATGTTGATGTAGAAGAGACATGAAGAAGAGGGGACACATGTTGATGTAGAAGAGACATGAAGAAGAGGGGACACATGTTGATGTAGAAGAGACATGAAGAAGAGAGGACACATGTTGATGTAGAAGAGACATGAAGAAGAGGGGACACATGTTGATGGAGAAGAGACATGAAGAAGAGGGGACACATGTTGATGTAGAAGAGACATGAAGAAGAGGGGACACATGTTGATGTAGAAGAGACATGAAGAACAGGGGACACATGTTGATGTTGATGTAGAAGAGCCATGAAGAAGAGAGGACACATGTTGATGTAGAAGAGACATGAAGAAGAGGGGACACATGTTGATGGAGAAGAGACATGAAGAAGAGGGGACACATGTTGATGTAGAAGAGACATGAAGAAGAGGGGACACATGTTGATGTAGAAGAGACATGAAGAAGAGGGGACACATGTTGATGTAGAAGAGACATGAAGAAGAGGGGACACATGTTGATGTAGAGGAGACATGAAGAAGAGGGGACACATGTTGATGTAGAAGAGACATGAAGAAGAGGGGACACATGTTGATGTAGAAGAGACATGAAGAAGAGGGGACACATGTTGATGTAGAAGAGACATGAAGAAGAAGGGACACATGTTGATGTAGAAGAGACATGAAGAAGAGGGGACACATGTTGATGTAGAAGAGACATGAAGAAGAGGGGACACATGTTGATGTAGAAGAGACATGAAGAAGAGGGGACACATGTTGATGTAGAAGAGACATGAAGAAGAGGGGACACATGTTGATGTAGAAGAGACATGAAGAAGAAGGGACACATGTTGATGTAGAAGAGACATGAAGAAGAGGGGACACATGTTGATGTAGAAGAGACATGAAGAAGAGGGGACACATGTTGATGTAGAAGAGACATGAAGAAGAAGGGACACATGTTGATGTAGAAGAGACATGAAGAAGAGGGGACACATGTTGATGTAGAAGAGACATGAAGAAGAGGGGACACATGTTGATGTAGAAGAGACATGAAGAAGAGGGGACACATGTTGATGTAGAAGAGACATGAAGAAGTACATATATTTTGATGCTATTACTTTTTTCTTTTTCTTAGATACCTTTTAAAATCAGGACTTTTACGTGGAGTATTTTACGATCACAGTATTTGTACGAAGGTAAAGGATCCGAGTACCTCTTCCAACACTTATCGCCACAAAGCTTAAAGCTGTTTTAAATAATTGTGAAGTCGAATCTATTCATTACAGTAACACACCTTTAATGCTGCAGCTTTGTATCATCATCTAAACATCTCGGCTGACAGGTATCTGGCACCGATAAGGAAGAAGAAGGGAGTGAGAGTTTATGAAGTCGTTATTGCTCTGCAGCATTCCTCCCCTTTGTAGTCTTTCAGCAGAAGGAATATATCACTGGGAGTGTCTTATAAAGTAATATTAACCAATAAAATAATTGTTATTAAAGGTTCCTAATATGTTCCACATGCAGAAGCAGCGTTTAGTTATTATTAAAACAAATACATATTCATAGTTGCACTGTAACTTTTATTTTAGTATTTTTAAACCTGTCTTACTTTGTATTCTCTTGGCTTTTTAATGACTGTTTTTAAATGTATTTTATTGTCATCGTATGATTTGATTCTGTTGCACTTTGTCTCAATGCTTTTAATGTTTATGTAAAGCACTTTGAATTGCGTTGAAATGTGCTGTATAAATAAACGTGCCTTGTCTAAAGAGCTCTTCAACATGTGCTATGTGTTATTTGTTTGTTGTTTTGTTTTAGATTGAAGGTGTATCTCAGTATGTAGTGTCTCTACTTTAAAGAGTCCTCTCCTGCTGATGTTCAGGTGTATATCAGTATGTAGTGTCTCTACTTTAAAGAGTCCTCTCCTGCTGATGTTCAGGTGTATATCAGTATGTAGAGTCTCTACTTTAAAGAGTCCTCTCCTGCTGATGTTCAGGTGTATATCAGTATGTAGTGTCTCTACTTTAAAGAGTCCTCTCCTGCTGATGTTCAGGTGTATATCAGTATGTAGAGTCTCTACTTTAAAGAGTCCTCTCCTGCTGATGTTCAGGTGTATATCAGTATGTAGTGTCTCTACTTTAAAGAGTCCTCCTGCTGATGTTCAGGTGTATATCAGTGTGTAGAGTCTCTACTTTAAAGAGTCCTCTCCTGCTGATGTTCAGGTGTATATCAGTATGTAGTGTCTCTACTTTAAAGAGTCCTCTCCTGCTGATGTTCAGGTGTATATCAGTATGTAGTGTCTCTACTTTAAAGAGTCCTCTCCTGCTGATGTTCAGGTGTATATCAGTATGTAGAGTCTCTACTTTAAAGAGTCCTCTCCTGCTGATGTTCAGGTGTATATCAGTATGTAGTGTCTCTACTTTAAAGAGTCCTCTCCTGCTGATGTTCAGGTGTATATCAGTATGTAGAGTCTCTACTTTAAAGAGTCCTCTCCTGCTGATGTTCAGGTGTATATCAGTATGTAGTGTCTCTACTTTAAAGAGTCCTCCTGCTGATGTTCAGGTGTATATCAGTGTGTAGAGTCTCTACTTTAAAGAGTCCTCTCCTGCTGATGTTCAGGTGTATATCAGTATGTAGTGTCTCTACTTTAAAGAGTCCTCTCCTGCTGATGTTCAGGTGTATATCAGTATGTAGTGTCTCTACTTTAAAGAGTCCTCTCCTGCTGATGTTCAGGTGTATATCAGTATGTAGAGTCTCTACTTTAAAGAGTCCTCTCCTGCTGATGTTCAGGTGTATATCAGTATGTAGTGTCTCTACTTTAAAGAGTCCTCTCCTGCTGATGTTCAGGTGTATATCAGTATGTAGAGTCTCTACTTTAAAGAGTCCTCTCCTGCTGATGTTCAGGTGTATATCAGTATGTAGTGTCTCTACTTTAAAGAGTCCTCCTGCTGATGTTCAGGTGTATATCAGTGTGTAGAGTCTCTACTTTAAAGAGTCCTCTCCTGCTGATGTTCAGGTGTATATCAGTATGTAGTGTCTCTACTTTAAAGAGTCCTCTCCTGCTGATGTTCAGGTGTATCTCAGTATGTAGTGTCTCTACTTTAAAGAGTCCTCTCCTGCTGATGTTCAGGTGTATATCAGTATGTAGTGTCTCTATTTAAAGAGTCCTCTCCGGCTGATGTTCAGGTGTATATCAGTATGTAGTGTCTCTACTTTAAAGAGTCCTCTCCTGCTGATGTTCAGGTGTATATCAGTATGTAGTGTCTCTACTTTAAAGAGTCCTCTCCTGGTGATGTTCAGGTGTATATCAGTATGCAGTGTCTCTACTTTAAAGAGTCCTCTCCTGCTGATGTTCAGGTGTATATCAGTATGTAGTGTCTCTACTTTAAAGAGTCCTCTCCTGCTGATGTTCAGGTGTATATCAGTATGTAGTGTCTCTACTTTAAAGAGTCCTCTCCTGCTGATGTTCAGGTGTATATCAGTATGT